TCGTTAGCTCATGGCAACAAGACGACGACACTTGACATCCATGTTATGCGGAAGACTTTTGATCTTCATGTATGGATTCATTGTTAGAAAGATTTTTGATACAAGAAGACTTATTCTGTTTCACTTCTAACTCACTTGAATCAACCATTTGATCGAACCATTAATTTTGATATTACTTGTTATTGTCAAGGGTTCCACACACAATTTTCACTAATAACACCACTTGTTGGTTTTGAGGGTTTCACAATATTAGGTAATGACTAAAAATAAATTCATGAGAATTTGAATTTATAATAAATAATATCATATCAATATAGAGATATATATCTTAGTTCATAACATTTATCCAAAGTAAATTTAGTTTACTTGAGTTTTTTTTTTTTTTAACAAATACTTAATCTCAATATATACTTTGCATATGAATTAATTTTATACCTAAAGAATGTGCGAACAGTAACAGCATTTTTCTTTAAAAGAAAAACATCGAGATTCTGCAGAATTTGTTGAAATGAAAAATTGACCAAGGTAAGTTATGCAGAAAAAGGTTCACATGATGATTGTCATTTGTGAGAAATGGATTTGAAGAATCTGACACGCGCACAGAGGGAGGGAGTGTGATGGCGTGATTTAAAGAAAAGAAATGTTATTGGGGCCGACAAAGAGCATCTTTGGATGCATGGCATGGCTTTTTATTTTCGCAGGTCGAAGGGCACGAGATAAGATATTAGATATATCATTGTGATAACAATTTAACATTAGCAGCTACCTCAGATTAGCTGGCTTTTAATATTTGCGTTTCTGTTTCATTTTCAGTAAACTCTCCTTCGCTCGTGCCATTTTCCACTGCCAGCACCACCACGCGTACGTCTTTTACTCCATCACCGTGGAATTTATTGGATTATGAGGTCAACCTTACACCCTCCATCTACACTCTACACTTATATGTTACCTTCAATTCCACACTTTCATTCCCTCCTTATATTTAGTCTACACGCAACTTAATAACTATCATGTCCCCTAATTAATTTGCACTCACATATAGAACAGGTTTAATTTATTTGGATTCACTGTTATATAAAATACCAATCCTTTTCTAGTTTCTAACTACTAGTTTATAATGAATTGGTAGGATTTAAACTCGTCTAATACAACCACAATGAATCTATCAGTCACTTAATTAGATATGTATAGAAGGCAGCAGCATGGTGCCTCAACTAATCGATATATATATGCGCACACACTAAACAAAAGCTATACACTAATTAAATATTTTTAGTGTTCTTGTATAGATTTCCCAAGCACGATTTGCACTTAGCAATCTAAACCCAGAGTAATCAAGTCTATTTAGAGTTTTCTTCCTCACTTCTTTATAATGTCATCGTACATCAAACTATTTCTTATAGAGATAATTTATTTTCTCAGATATTTGTCCTATGATCATTTTTGATTCCCCCAAGATTCTAGGACCAAACATAACTCTCTCCCTAATAGAGTAACAACTGTTGTTGTTACTTTATTCCAAATAAGGCTTTGGAGGCTCCCAACTAATCAATATCACTCACTACCTTATTGTAAGTGGCTCATTAATTTTGTCCATGTTTAAAAGGATATGCTGAGTAATTGCCTTTTGATTAAAATGATAGTATAATACTGTAACTAATTTCCTTAACTAATACATTATTTATAGACAATTATGTTTCAATCAAGTAAAATTATTGTAAATAATAAGACTCTTTCATTAAATATTTAACATAACTGTATATATGAAACTATAACTTGAAAATATGAGTTAAGTTGAAATATTTTTGTATTAGTTGATGAAGGTTATTATTAGTTTGAATTCATGCATAGTATTTATATTAGAGCATCTCCCATGGGGGTTGCTTATAAGCAACTCCTGTGCCACATCACTACCAAATCAGTTCTGACTCACTTTATGGGTTGCTTAAATTTTAGCAGAGTTGTTTGTAGAAACAACTCTGCTAAAATTTAAGCAACTCAAAAAGTGGGTTAGAGCAGATGTGGCACAGGCAATTTCCATTGCAGATGCTCTTAATATTTTATTTTTATTAAATAATCTTATAATTAAATTTAATATTTTTTTCCATTAGTAAATGAGTTTGATTTTTAAATCATTTACAATATATATTTTCTAAAGGTACGTAAGTATATTAGTGGTCGATCTTGGGTCACTGTTATTTTGTATTGTGATTGCTTGATAAAAAAGTGAAAAGAGGTAGTACTCGTGGTCATCCTTTTCAAGTTCGACAACAGCCCACCTTCTTGCAGCTGCTATTATATTTACATTATCTTTGTTTTCGTAAGACTCATAATTTGGTGGTAGTGGCAGTGCACCCAATGTTTGATGGTCTTGTTAATCTCGTTTTTCAAGTAATTAATTAAAATAAACTCGAGATTGCTTCCACTCTCCTTAAAGCCTTTAAGCCGCCGATTGTCCCAAAGTGTGGTGCATGTGGGTCACTATTTGTGCCCCTTCCCACGAAACAACTCATATACCATGTACCTTACCTTTCTTCCCATTCTCTCTTCTCATTTCCAACAACATGCAACTCTTTCC